GCATTTGGTCCTATTTTGGCCCCTTTTGATCTTCAAGGCTAATATTGCTCTTTTATACATAGAACAAACGAGCATTAATTTCTGAGCATTCTGATGCAAAAATAGTGGTATTTCAGTTCGATAATAGGGTTGAATGGGTCCCATTTACCTAGTACATTAAATGGTCTAATATCGATTAATCCTACTCTGCAAAACAAGTACTTGTTTGACAGAAGAAAATAAAGATGAAGAGTGATTCTAAGTTATTCTGATAGCCATTTCATCGGACTACATTTTCATACTAGAACCATGAATTTAAAATGATTTCTTGGGTTTTTTAGATCATACAGAAATCTTGCATTGTCTACATATTGGACCTAAAGTAACCATGTATATCAAATTCATCGACTGATTCTTGTGCTAAGAAAGCTTGCTCCCCATTTAGTTCACTTCTAATTCGACAGAGCTTGAAGAGCTCTACAAGATTAGCTACTTTTCAGGATCGAAAAAAGTGGGTCACATAAAGAACTGAAGCCTCGAATATTCGAACCCCCTCAATTTTCAACATTTTTCAGACTTCTTCAACGTTTTTCAAGCAGAAACTTCGTTCATTGGATTTCAGAACATGTCATATTTGGAATCAGCGCAAAAAATAGAGTCGATCTATGTATTTTTCGAACGTTTTCTTTGCCTTTCATTTTCGGACATATTTTCACCCTGGGGTCCCTCTCAGGAATTATCGAAAAAATGATTTTGGTTAAAAACTTATTTGAAAAGTGGGAATCAGGTTCCAGGCTAGCGCAATGATATCTGGAAGCAAAAAGTAGGATGACTGAGAAACAAACAAGTTAACGCGACGAAAACGTCGCCAACCCTCTAGTGAAAGGATGCAATGTTCCAGAATTTAAAGAATCTGAGTGCGAGTGACACTTTAACTTTATTTTATTTTAATAAAGTAAAGTGAAGCACGTAGTTGATGATTATTGATATATAAGTTCATTTTCACACATTAATAGCATTCCAATACGTCAAAAGTTGTCTCGAACTGCGGACCGACGATCTCGAAAAGCTTAACGTAATTTTGTTACTTTCAGAAACAGCATTGAACCCTGCCTATTTTTCATAATTTTATTTTCTATTTTATCAAAACCCAACTTTTCACACCTGGAATCTCCCTTAAGCATTAAAAAAAAAGCTTTTACTGTTCTATTGCAAGTCTTTATGGTTCAATAGTAACAAGTGCGCCGATTCCAAATGTCTCACTTGTTCTCAAAAGTACCCAAAAAGTCAGAAGGTTGTGGCGTATGTATGAGATGGCTAGAAAGGGCACCGCTCTTCCACCAACAACAAGGAGAGAGTACCAATTACCTTGACATTTTCATTGTCTTTCTAACATGTTATATAACTCTAGATATTCAGTTGAAGAGGAGTGGATGCGCCTTTGAACTCGAATAAAACTTTACTTGAAAAACAATTCCTGTCTGAAATAAAAGGGTTCCTACATGGGCCATACTCAACAATTACTTACGTCTATTATGAGTTAAGAATAATATATAATACACAATTGTAGAGGGTGTATTAATAGAAAAGATCAAATCGAACCGGGCTTCACCGCTTCGAGTTCGGTTCGGTTCATCTTTCTTTTCTAAACAAGAGTACAGGCTCGGCTTATAACTGTTTTCTTAAAATCATTTCAGATTCTGTTAGGCTCAAGTGTAATTCATAAAATCCGAATGCGGGATGCGAGTGTATAGTGTGGGTGTGAGAGGGGACAAGGCGTCTATTTACATTCCAGTATTTGATGTTGTCAGACGTTCTGTTTAAAATCTTGATTTTTCGATGTTTATAGTATGGGTTGCAACCTTTGTTGGCTCTTGCTACAAAAATTAGTTACTTTAATTAACATTAGCTATATCAAGCGTAATCTAGAAGACCGTGCGACTCTGGGTATTTTTACGATCGAAAAACATATGAAACAAATCATTTTACATTCTCGGACTACGATCTTTTCTTCCATTATCTTTATATGCTGTCATACTTTGTATCAAATTTATTACTGAGTAAAGATTTGACATAAGAGTTTTATTAGTGTGATCGGTACACCAAAATGAAATAAAACTTTCATGTTATATCTCTACTCAGTAATAAATTTAATACAAAGTTTGACATCATAAAAAGATAAAGATGGGTATGATTTATGTTCGAGGATGCAGATCCTGCAACGAAACAGATGCATGATTTTTTTCATATATTTAATTCCTAAGAAAGAGTCAAAGAGAGGGTGTGGGTGTGGGTGTGGATGTGGGTGCGGGTGGATGTGGGTGTGGGTGTGAGTGTGGGTATGGGTGTGGGTGAGGCTATCAACATACTCCCTTCGACCCACATTGACGTCCACACTCACACCCACATCCATACCCTAATTAATATAAAATTCCAGTGTAGTTTAAATCAAAGCATTGCTTTCTAGAGATCTCATTGATTAGTTATAGACCTTACTGTTGCTAGAATAAATCTATAATCATAGATAAAGTATGAACAACAAGTAATGTTTAATTCTTCTCAATAATTTCTTCTATGCATACGTATTCATAAAAAATGATATATTTTCAAAAATGAAAAATTACCTATAATTTTATACATTGTTTTTAAGCGTATGGATGTGGGTGTGGGTGTTGGGCGTGGTTGGGGGTGGGGATGGGGGTATGGGTCATTTCTTAACGCACTCACGTCTACATCCACACTCGCACCCCACACCCACACCCACCCACACTGGCACCCACACCGACACTCCACCCACGCCCACATTCACGCCTCACATCCACACCCACCCACCCACACCCCATCCACACCCACATCCACAACCTCCTTGATAGAGTTCTCGTAGTGATGAATTTTGACATGCCTAATATTCAGAGAAATGTCGGTTTCTTCCGATTTCTCGAAATTCCGACTTTGTGGAACATGTCGTATTCGAGAGGATCACGAACACCATCTAGTGAATTTTCTTTAATTCCTTATGGTTCAATAAGAGGTTTTCAATTTCCTTGAAATCAAACGACTTCTTGTAAAAAAACAGGTTATCGGTACCAACTATTTTTCTCTTTTCTGGGACAGGAGATTATGGGATTAGAATGCTCTGTATTGATAATGACCTCTAGTCTTCATGATATTCACAGAAAACAAAAATCATAACTAATAGCAAAGTGTATAAAACTGTCGCTAAATGACATAGCAGCCTATATCGCTGTTTCATGTAATTGTAGAAAAGATTAAAAACTTTTATTAAGACATATATTACATGAGGACTAGTGCATCATTTACCGGGGCAAAATAACTTGCCCTGTGCTCTGCTGCAATTACCGATACCCAAGACAAACACGGTAGAGCAAAAAAAATGAGTCTTCGTCCTGTAGGATACGACAGCTCTGTTTCTCTGTCCTGATGGCAATTTCTGATTTGTTCTCTTTTTCTCCAATGTTTACCTGTAACATCAGTCAACACGTGGCACTTTTTTTCACAATTTCTTTTGAAATATTTCTCATGAATAGAAACGAAATAAATAAATAAATCATGTAAAAACTAAATGTTTTTTTTTAAATAGATTGTATAATATCATCGATCATCAAACAAAACAATGTCAGTCTATTTTGAAATAAAAGCTTGATCAAAAATAACGTTGAATTCTATATTTAGAATTGAAATGGTGACAATATTTGAAGATTTATCAAATGAATTAATTTTAAATATATTTGAGTATTTTAATGTCTATCAACTTTATATAACATTTGGACAACTAAATAGTCGTTTCAGTTCATTACTTAATAATGCTCGTCTTCATTTTGATCTTGATCCTATTCCAATGAACGAATATGCATCATTTTCATTATTACTTCAACCTATGAATATTCTATCTTTTACTTCACGTAATTTAGAAAAGACACGTTCGTGGCTTTTTTATAATAATGATGCTCTACAACAATTTTCTAAGATTCATGCACTTACATTAGTTAATGTTACTTATGGAATAATCAATCGACTACATGAACGTCTTCCTACTCTGAAGAATACACTGATTTACGTCAATATCTCTGGTTGGTATCTTTTTAGAAATATTGTCTTCTAAACAAAAATCCTAGTTGACACATTTTTGAAATCAGCACCAAGAAAATAATGACAAGATTATTATCAGACTGATGGAATTCATAATAATTTTGGTCATAAAATTGCTTGTTATGCATAGAATAGTTCCCACTTCGATGAACTGCATATTTTTCTAAGAATTGGATGGGAGTGATGAGTTCTTTTTTGAAAACTATGTCTTTGATTACTTGGATTTTTATACGAGGTTAGTTCGTCTTTTGAGAATCGGGCTTTTCCATCCTAGTATTAAGTTTCTTGTAGTTCCATTCGAGTATATTTGCGCAGTTGATAAGCATAATACAAAATGAACCATTAGAAATCTCATCGGAAGCTTGAAAAGAAATGTCTTATTGAATCAGCTCATTCAAAAATAACTGCTAAAAAGATCGATTCCCAATAGGTATTTGACAACTTGAGCTCCACATAGTTCGCGACAGCTACATCTGAACTTTGTTGAAAAGTTCCTAGAACCTGTAACTGTTCAACAAGTTATCAATGGTTACTTTTAGGGGTACCGTTAGTTAGTCGACAACTTTTTCTATTGATCAATCAGATTCGAGACAGTTTTTTTCTTCTCCATTGAACGAACAGTTTTAGGGAGTTATTTATGATATTCCTTCTCACGGTCCTAATAGTATTATGACTTCTCCTTACACTAGCACAGAAACCACGCCCTTGAATCTGATTGGTCATTATAACAAGCTCTTAACCAACTAAGGATATTCCATAGGATAGTGCATGAGGATCTGAGGTTATTCTATATTTGAATCTTTGAAGATCTACGAGTGCCCTATAGGATGACTATTATGAAATCTATTGTTTGTATCATTATTTTTGAAAACAATATGTCAATTCTATTTAATATAATCAATATAGAAACAATGAAAACAGAGAAAAATTGCAATAAAGATGAATATATTTATTTTAAACATTGGTGTCCAACACATGAATTCTGTTCAAATAAATATTCTTCTCTTCGCTATTTGATTATGGATACAGAATATAACCACCAAGCATTCGGTTGTTTAACTCCAACAATATCAACAATTACACATTTGAAACTTGGTCATATTTATTCGATTATTTGGTTACTTCATCTTTTTCGATATACAACTCAATTAAAAGTATTACATTTAGACGAATTTTATGGTGTATTAGATGATGATGATCCTTTTAATCGTCATCCAACCAAAAATCCAATCGTATTTCCATGTGCCGTAAATATGCATGTATTTATTGTTAAGAATAGTTATTGTGAACCAATCTCTATTGAATATATTCTTCGTGCATGTCCATATTTAAAACAATTCTATTTAAATTCTACACATGATTATTTTAATTATGATACAATGATTCGAACAAAGATTTATAGTCCTATTTTTTGGCAATCAATGATAGAACAATGGGGACAACATTTAATCAATCTGAATATAACTATTAAAGGTAGTCATACATTTTTAGATGAAGATCTCACTACTCTATTTTGGAGATCAAGATTCTGGCAAATCAAAACTTTACATTCACCACCTTCTTTCATTATACAGAATAATAACATTATTTTCAATTCTTTCTTATCATAGTATTTTACAATATGTGCAGTTTTTTCTTTACAATTGTACAATTTATTAAAATAAACACGATCTTTTATATTAAACTTGTTCTTTAATAGTTATCAAAATACTTTAGAAGTTTTCTATTACGCCTTTACGTATATAACAATCTATGTTTTTTATATTGAGCATAGGTGTGAATGTTTCGAAGTATTAACTAATAAATATCAACCAGAGGTTCGGAATGTTAGTGCTTATAATCGTTCTCTCATCATTCCAATTGGCATACTAACATTTTCGACATAATAAGATCAATTCAAAGATTCCATAGAAATTTGTTAATGTTCATATATCAATATTCGATAAGCATCGTCAAATTAATTACAAAAATTCTAGTTACTAAAATCTTATTTAATGAATTTTGAAAATATATGGAGTGTGCATGTGCGGTGTGGGCGTGGGTGTGGGTATAGGTGTGGCTATCAACATACTCCCTTCTACCCACATTGACATCCACACTCACACCAACATCCATACCCTAATTAATATAAAATTCCAGTGTAGTTTAAAACAGAGCATTGTTTTCTAGAGATCTCATTGATTAGTTATAGACCTTACTGTTGCTAGAATAGATCTATAATCATATATAAAGTATGAACAAAAAGCAATGTTTAATTCTTCTCAATAATTTCTTCTATGCATACATCTTCATAAAAAATGATATAAATATTTTCAAAAATGAAAAATTACCTATAATTTTATACATTGTTTTTAATACCGTCAATTAACTGATATTTATTTGGTATTCAATTCAATTGAAGTCATTTCATCAAACATTAAAATCGAAGTTGCACCTTCGTCGATCGGTGTAACTTGGGTACGACATGTAACCAGTGTTGCCACCTTTTGAAGTCCAAAAAGCAGAAAATAGTTTATAAAAAGCAGAAAATAGTTTATAAAAAGCAGAAAATAGTTTATAAAAAGCAGAAAATAGTTTATAAAAAGCAGAAAATGACAGAAATTTTATTACTGAAAAACAGAAAAAAAGCAGAAAGCATATTTTTTGTGATGTAAACGATTTTAAAACTGTTCCAGTGTACTGATGAAGAATTTTCATATCAAATTTTGATCTCTCTTGTACAGAATCATGAAAAATAGTCAATCCATAAAGAAATAGGATTGTACAAGGTCAAGAAATACAACTACTTAATTGACAAATAGAATTATTAGATACAGTTTCTATTGACTACATATTTGTCATCTGGTTAAGTAGCTTTTAGTAAATCTTGATTATCTAATAAATATCTACACATCTTATTCATGATAAGGAAAACATTAAAGGTATTGTTAATTCAGGTGATATAAGTTTTCTTCTCATGCAGTCCTTTGATCATGTAATAAATGTTTCAATTATGAGAATGCTGAGTCAGCATAAGCATTTCCACATGATAGAGAATAAAACAAATATATGAACTTTTTAAAATGTGGTGATTGAATGAGAGGAAAAATAAACACCCGTAACTGATCGGATCTGACAATTTTGTTCACTGTTGAATTATCATCATTTAGAATAGAAGATAAACATCAATAACTATTAGGAATGTATTGAGAGTGAGGATTCTGTAAGAAAGATGAGAAGTTTTCTTTTGTCAAAATTGCCAAGATCCAATCAAATTTTTATTTGGAATTACTTAGCTTGATTTCATCTAGCTATGCATACAACCAACCAGAACGATAAGAAAGTAAAAGGTCTAATCTCAGTCAATCTGTTTGATTGTACACACAGCTAAATGAAATCAACTTCAGCAATTCTCCATAAGAATCTCGTCGAGTTTTATGGATTTTTGCAACAGAGAAGTTGTTATCCTTATTAGACACTATTCATTCTCAATACATCTCTAGTAAGTATGGACAAGAACTTTGTTATAATGATGAAAAAATCTTTTAAAAGCAAAAATCTTGATTAAAAATATAAATAATACAATATTTTTAAAAAGCAGAAAAATGCTCAGAAAGCAGAAACGACAGAAAAAAAGCAGAAAAATCTTCAAAAAGCAGAATTTTTCTGCTAAAAGCAGAAGAGGTGGCAACTCTGATTGAGTCATTATGAAGAAAACCTTGCCTACGTAAACGGTATGCTCGAAAAAATTGATTTTGAGAAAAACGAAAAACAAAGTTTTTTGATGCAGTAAGTGTCTCTATTCGAAATAAATCTGCTTATCTACCTAATATTTTCGCACTATTCCTCAAGCTTTATTGATGGTGTGTACGTGGATATATCATAATACGGTTAGAGATACATATCATGCCCAAATTGTGGTCATAGTTCCTTACATATATATGTTACTTCATGTCACACATGTTTTTATTAACTTTTTCGTTAATGATATTTTCATTCTTTTGTTTGACCGAGAGAGTTGAAATTTTTATGGCATATATACCTAATAAAGATCTTTTAGTTCTGAAAGTTTCAGCTCAATAACTATGACTAATGGTAAAATACATAAGTTTTCGTACTCGATTTTTGCTGAAAAATGAGACAAGAATCGAGTACGAAAACTTATGTATTTCACTTTGATCGATGTATTTTATCATTAGTGATAGCTATAGAGCTGAAACTTTCAGAACTAAAAGATCTTTATTAGGTATATATGCCATAAAAATTTCAACTCTCTTGGTCAAACAAAAGTATGAAAAATATCATTAACACTGTATCCTCAGTTATTATGCAACATTCGCCAGAAAAAAAGACCAATGTACACGTTTTGGCAAAAGAAATTATGCTAGGTTGTAGTTCATTACAAGGGCTATTAGAATATGTATAAATCTCAAAATCGAGTTTTTTTTTCGAAAAATTGACTTTTCTGAGGGGGGGAGGAGGAGGCCCTTAAAAAAAAAACAATTTTCTTTTTTCTTACATAAACATACATATAAAACAAATGAGTTTTATTTTTTAAGAATAAGACCACGTGTTTTTTCTTGATCATTAACATCAGGAATATATTCACCAAGTTCAAGTCTCTCGGCAAATGTTGATAAATAGTTTGCAAAACCTAAACAAAAAAAAATAAAACAAAGTTTTATTGAATAGATTTCTCGAACTGAAATCTATAAAAACAAAAAAATATTTACTTCAATATTTTACATCACGAATTGGTTGCTTATGATCCCATTCAATAACTGATGTTTCTTCTTGACCATTATCATCACTTGTATCAACATAACGTAAAACATTCATTGATATTGTTGATATTAATAATGGTATCATAAATGATGGTTTAAAATCTACAAAGTGATGTTTTTGAACATTATTAGTTTTTTTGTTCATCATTCCGTTGAATTATTTCATATAATGGTAACCAACGCCAACCACCAAATAAACCTTTTGATTCAGTTGATTCACCATTATGAAAAGTATAAGCTTCACGTACAGAGGGAAGAAATTTCGCACCTAAAATTGTTTCAATTTTATCAAGTTCATCAATTGATGATATAGGTTTATTTAATTGACGAAATACATCAGGTGCATTTTTAGATAACCAAGACTCAATACGTACAAATGATTCTGAAATACTCATTCTAGAAAAAAGAAAAGTTTTGTATAATATCTAAAAACCACTAAAGAACAATGAAAAAACAACAAAATGATTCTGTAAATAATGTCAAGTGTAATAATCAAGCCTTGAAAATAAATATGATTACTGGAGAAAAGAAAGAAAAACCGATAAGATCACCATTCACTTGGATAAGATCGATTCATGAAGTACAACAAGTTTCCATATGGATATAAATAATATATGGAAAATATATAAATGTTTTTTTTTTCAAAAGAAAATTATATGAGCAGTTATTCGAAATTCATCAGATCAGGTTTTTCAAGATTATATAGAACGTTCTTTTTTTTTCATTATGACAATACGAATCATCATCAATTTTTTAACTTGTTTTCATGTATGTCTCGTCCACGTCAATTCCTTCCTATATATATGCTCAAAGCTTTTTTGATTACATTGAAATACAATCCTTTTCAGCTCATCTCTCTCTCTCTCTTATCTCATAAATTATGTTTTTCAATAGTTGCTATACTAGAAACAGCTCTAATTTATATTCATTAAAAGTTTTAGATAATTAACTTTTCATTTTATTATATCAAGTTTAAATTTAATCACATATCTATTCAAATTTGAAAACTCTCATTATAATAATAGATACGAGAAAAAAAACAAAGTGTAACTCGATTAACACTATAATTAAACTCTTTATCATTCTATCAATCATATTTCATATAAATTCAAAAAGAAAATTAAAAGAATATAATTAGTTTTATTTATCAATGTCATCCGATAGAAGTAAAAAAAAGACACAAAAATAATTTACTAATGAAAAAAGAAACAAATCTTATAAGAAATAAAAAACATGCAAAAAAAAAAGAAAAATAGTAAAATTTTTAATTAAGATTATGTTAAAACAATTGTTGATTTATCATTGAATTCACTATTTGACATATTTATTCGTCTTAAATGCCTTGAATTTGTACGATAAAGTACATAATGTTGAACAATAAATAAAATATCAAATAAAATCGTAAATAAACCTAAACCAAGTTTTGTTGGTGAACCAAATATAGATGACCAATCATTATAATTTATTACAAGTAAAAACATTTGTAATAAACTGAATACACCACCAGTAAAATCTAAAAGAATATTACCAATAGACCAACCTTCAGTTGATTTTCGTTTATAATTCATCCATGCTTGTGGACAATATTTTATTATTGTTATTGCTAATTTAATATAAGAAAAAAAATATAATAATGTTAATGTTGATAAATGATTAGATAATGAAATAATTGATGATATTAATAAAAATACAATACCAATACCATTTAATAAACGAGCAACATAAGATACACGTTGATTACCATGTTCAAATAATAAACATTGAATAATTGTAACCGTACATGCAAAAACAGCATGACAACTGAATATTACCTAGAAATTGATAAGTTTATTTTAATTCAATTAAATAAATATTTAATATAAAAAAAAAAGCTAAAGAAATTTTTCTAAATAAAATACAATTAATATATTAGAAAATTTTATCACTATCCTTTAGAAGACTTATACATCTTAAATCATTTTACATTATCCTGTAGGGTAGAATAAAGGTTAAACAATTTCTCTCAATCAGAGTACACAGTACGAAAGCTTAATCTTTACGTCTCCACCATGAAGAAACGATGCCCACGATGTAATAGAAAACTCTTGTTAATTAAATTGATTTTACATAAAATTGAAATTTAATTAGTATACATACATCTCAAATATGCGTAGTTTTCAGAGCTTTAAGCTGAAAAATCTCTTTCCAAAGTCTTAAAATTGTCTTGATTCTTTGAAAAATCTATTTAATTAAAAATTATGAAAATAATTTTTAATTATTGAAAATCTGTCTGTATAAATTTGTACGCTTGAACATCATAGCGAGTTATCAAAAAGTAATTTGATAAAATGTTTGTTCATTTTTTGAGCCTCTTAAAGAAGTCTGCAGAAATTTCAAAGTGTTTTTTTTTAGGACTTTTGGTTTAAGAGCTATGAGCCGACCTTTTTGAGACACATAAACTGAGTTTAGACCAGCTTCAGTGAGTGAAACCTTATCCAAAGTAGAACTGAAAATTATTTTAAATACAACCAATAAAAGAGTAAACATATTTCTATAAAATAAGGATACTTATGATTAGTTTTCTGCAGGTCATTTGTCAACAGTGTATATTTCAGGTAACAAACACTGCAAAACACGTCTATTTTTTCCATCCAAACTTAATTTTCAGGCTTCTAAAAGGTTGGACTCATAATTCTTAAATCCGAAGTCCTAGGGAAATGTTGAACCTATATTCGAAAAAAAGTATAAAATTTTGATTCCAATTTATTATCTTCAAATTCCTGTAGTCTTCTTTAAGAGACTGAAAAATCAATGGAGGATAGGTTTAGTCATTTTTACAGACAAAAAAAAAGAACTTCATCAATGAATTCAATATGAGTAAATAAAATCAATAAGTCTATCTTCAAATTTCGAAAAGATTAAATTCTCTTTCCATATGATCTAATAAACGATAGTTATTTTCTTAATTTATGTGGAAAAAAGAACGATTATTTGTGATTCGAAGAAAAATTCTTTTGTAATTTTTTTCTTAATAATCTATTGAAAAAAATTTAATCTCATAAATAAAACTTACATCATTAAGTAAAACAGGTAAAACACCATGTGGATGGATAGCATAATATTGATGTTGAACTTTTGATGATGTATATAAAGCAACATTAAATATTGAATAACATGAATGTCCAAGAATATTTAATGCTAAAAAATCAAAATTAAGTCCAATAACACTTCGACGTCGAAAATTTAATATTATTTGAGGATAAAATGATACAGACCATGCAGAAAAATAAATCCAACCAACAATTTGTATAAATATATTTAATATATTACTACGTGCTATATCAATAAGAAGAAAATCTATTAATGATGATATATTAATTTGTGATGATTGTCCTGTTAGAACTAGATGACCTTGACGACGACCAGTTATAGTAATAAATTGACTTAGATCATCAGTTGTATGATTTGTAAATGTTATATTTGGTATTGAATTAATATAACCTTGTGTATTATTAAATTTACCATCATAAAGAAATGCAATAGAAATAGGAAAAGTAAGATCTGATTTAAGAAGATGAATATTGACTGATTTATTTTCACCGATAACAATACTAATAGATTTTGGTTGAAAAGAAATCACAGATGTATCTTGCATAGTGAAATTAATAAATAGAAATAATAAATAAATTATAGATAAATATATTAAATGCATATTATAAATTAAATCTGAAATAAAAACAAAAAGAAACTTCATACATTCGAAATTCGTTATAATTATATAGTGATATTGACTAAAGAATACAACAATAAAAGAAAAATGCTTTATCATATATTATCATGATAAAGCACATGAGACTATCAAAGATACTCAACATCATGACTAATTGTATTTTTTTTTTTGAAAAATTAAAATAGTATTAAAGAATTTTATAATTAAACGTTTTTTTTTTCCTTAAGGATATATTCTATTGTGTGATAAACAATATGAAGCACTTGGCAAAAATACAAAGACGTTTTCTTTATTTTCTTATTCTTATAAAGTCTTAGCTAACTGAAGAGATGACCGGCTAAGCAATTTTTCTTCATAGGTTTTTAAACAATAAAATATATTCGATTTAAGGTGTGGGTGGAAGGGAGTATTTTGATAGCCACATCCACACCCATACCCCTGTCATTAATGAATCATCAGATGTAATAATGCATTTATATTCACATACTAGTGGTACAATTGATCGTTCAGATAACCTTTATTTAACAGTACAACAAAATTCAGAAGTGACTTGTCAACATGAAATGGACCCATATGAAGATGAAAATTGTCTATTTCGTATTTGTTCAGTATGTTAATTTTACTTTCTTTGAATATTAATCATTTATCAATAGAAAAATTGACTGTTGCATGTCGTTCGACTTCATAGTATGACTATGAGAAGATATCAACGGGGAAGAAGAAAAGCTTACGAGGACTTGGACTGTCGACCTAACTATATGCAACACTAAAACACATCACTCGAATCAATCTTGTAAATGTATAGCATTTGAATGAATCTCGTTCAGATCTCCCTCTGTAGACACTCGATTCACATCAATACAAATTGGGATTAAGTGGTTGACGTTATCAACATATTCTACTAGTCTTCTTACTAAACCAAAATCTTAGACGATCGTGTGAAGGTGAATGAAATTTCTATTGAAAGTAAGACATGTTCGAAAAATCGAAAATCTAGAGTTTCAACAAAAACAAACATGTCTTTTTCGAGATATTTAATTTTCAAGTCGATCTCGGCTACTGCGTGGGTCCTCCTATGATAAACTATCTACTACTTTTCTCAAACTTTCAAGTCAAAAATTTCTATTAAGATTTTCCGTGCTTCAATCGAGACCTAGGTGTATCAATAATATGTATGAAGTTGAACGGCATTTGACATTTGAATGTATCGTTTTTATTGTGCATCGAAAGTCAAACAAAATGCAAGCATATGTCAATTGAGTTTATATGTGAGTTAGAATTCAACGATATTCAGTTGACAAATAAAAGAATCTTTCTCGATTTTTCGCCTATAGATATTATTATAAGGTATTCTAGTGAAAACTTTCGAAGAATCTGGATTCTTCTATTGAGACTCGATTGAGCTATTGAATTTCAAATCTGTTTATTTTGCAAGAGGCCCTCGTAGGATTTCAAAAGTGTCGGAAATTCTCTTTTTTTTTGCTTTTAGCCTTAAGGTCTTAATTATATAGTAAACTTTATTTCTTTGAGCAATGAATTTTTGAAAAGTTCATCTTTCTAGAATAGAAAAATGTCTACAAGCTATCTGCATAGGACATCTTCTATCAGATGAAAATACTTTGAAGATAGAAATACGAACAAATAATTTTTCAACAAAAAAACCTGACCTCTCGAACCAGTAGATATATTATAAATTCAAGACCTTCGTTAAACATCTAGAAAGGTTTCTTCTTGAATCTGGATTTACATAGATCTAATTCGAATCAACATGTATTTCATATATCGAAATTAATTAGTCTATAATAGTTCAAGGCTAATCGTCTCCAGATTGGAATTGAAGTGATAATTTCTTTTTACATCTAGATTCGAAATTCAAATTGCAATACTCTAGTTGAAAAGTTTCAGTTAAATGGGTATTTCTTATTTAGTTTCAAAATAATCGTTGTATAACAACAATATTGATTGTTATTAATTAATGTAAAATGCTTGAAGGAATATCTAATAATATTGAACACATTATATTGATTCCTATCTATATACGTAATAATGAAGGTGATCATGATGAAGCAATAATAGCATTTATCATAAGATATAAATAACGAAAAAATCCACAATTTTTATTTCGGTAAAATTCAAAAAAACAAATAGTTGATATGAATGATCGTTCATCGACAAGAGTAACCTACAACGAATTCCATCACGTTCAATAAAACGAATATACATTTTAATTTATGTCTATAATAGTATCCATCGAATAATAAAATAATGAACAAAACAAAAGTTTTAATATTCAATCAATACTTTCAATATAATGATTTAACAAAACCATCATATCATCATTATCGACAATATCATATTCTTATTGCATAAAAACTAATATATAATACATTAGTGTAATGTAAACATTTTTTTTTCATTTGATGCCTATCCACAAGAATATTGTGAGTTTCTTTTTGTTGCTCTTTTTTTCTAAAGAGAGATCTAGAGTGAAGCAGAATTTGACAAAAAAAAGTTTTCTTTTTCCTTTACTTCTGTTATTCCTATGTTTATTTATAAGGACACATTCACGAACTAATACAATCAATAACACAACAGAACAGAACAGTTGTTCTTTTATTTTTTCTTTCGTCATGTAGTCTTCTCGCGCACGATGAAAAACTCATATAATAGATAAGTGGCGCACGACATTCGTTTTGTCCTTACATCTATCAATCGATAACTTATTGGACCGATCGATATATGTGAAGACAACTAAGATCTCGTGTGCTTCACTTATTTCATATGAACTTTCACGTCTTGCTATGCATATATACATGTGTAGCTATGCGTTGATGGATCATCCACGATCTAATGGAAAGTAACAAGTCAAATGAATGCAAAGCAAAAAGAAAATTTTTCCGTGGGTGTAGGTGTGTGAAACTATTGTCAAATTTATTATCAATGATGACCAATAAAAAAGGAAAAAACAAGTTGAGTCTTAAATCGTGTGTGTGTGTGTTGTGATAATTACAAATACATAACTGTTTTAGCTTCCGATGACTAGTTTTTAATTATTAATAGAAAGATATAATTTCCTTTTTCAATCGGATTGCATTTGTTCGTTAAAAAAGTTACCTTTATCAATAAAATTTTAAATAATAAATTAGTTTTTATTTCAATCATTTATACTTAAAATACGAATAATAATTGAATAAAAGAAAAACAAATATTTTTTTTCCCAAGTTGATAATATCACAGATAAAATCTTATCATCATACAGATTGGGTGTGGAGTGTGGGTGTGGATGGGTATGGGTGGGGTGTGTGGGGTGTGGGTGTGGATGGGTTTGGGTGGGGCGTGTGGGGTGTGTGGGGTGTGGGTGGATGTGGGTAGGGATATGAGTTTGGATTGAAAACAAAGACCCACACGCTCACCCACACCCCACCCCACACCCCACCCACATCCACACCTACACCCACACCCACACCCACACCACCCACACCCACACCCACCCACACCCACACCACCCACACCCACACCCACACCCACACCCACCCACACCCCACACCCACACCCACACCCACTCACACCCACACCCACACCCACACCCCACACCCGCACCCACACCCACACCCTACTAATATCAATCATCTTTGTTTTTTTCGCGTGCAACATCATCAGTCCTCATATACACCGAGAAGATCTCTTCACAAAAAAAAAACTTCAAACATCGTCCATCCTTAAAAACATACATTGCTGATGTCACGGGAAAAAATTCTCGACAACCGTTGTCCGCTACAAACTCTCCGACTCAATCATTATGAAACTCCTTTCGCCGCACCCGCATCAGCTTCTACGATGTGCCTCAGAATGTGCGGTAGCGGTGATTCTACCAGCTGCTTTAGATTGGAACATTGAAACTTGAAAGTTGAAACTTGAAATTTCAATTGAATTCAAGTTTCAAGTTTAACATATATGCCATATTTCACACATATACCCACAAGCCCACACTCCGACACTCCACACCCATACCCACAAGCCCACACCCCAACACTTCACACCCATGCCCACCGCACACCGATACCCGCAAGCCCACGCTCTGCACCTATGCCCGCAACACTTACACCCGCCGCACACCCATACCCACATCCACACCTACACCCACATCCCACACCCACATTCATCTATCAACATATCGCTCAATTGATGAAGTACAGACGTAACTCGTTTATTATAGGATTTTTTTGAGTAGGTGAGGTTGTGAAGAATTAGAAAGAGTTCTTTTGCTGACTTATCAGAAACAGCCATAAAGAAGAAACAGCTTAATAATAAAACGGTAATGTCTGAAATAGTTAATGGTACATGTGCCAGAGACTCTCAATTTTTTTTTTGTTCGTGTTCTTTTTTCATTTCTTCCAACTACATAGATTGTAAAGAATATTTAAAAGGTGTGGGTGTGGGTGTGGGTGCGGATGGGGTTTGGGTGTGTGGGTGTGGGTAGGTGTGGGTGTGGGTTTAGATGTCGATAGACATAAGACTGACACCCACATCCATCTACAGCCAACCACACCCACACCCTCACCTACGCCTACGCCTACACCCACACCCACACCCACACCCATATCCACACCCACACCCACATCCACACCCTCATTCCTGGTTTAGTGACATCTTTTATCAGCAATGATGATTCAGTAGTTAGCTATGTTTATTTTTCGATACACTGGGTTTTTTCCCAGTCGAATTTTCAAATATAAATACGAAGAGAATGACATGGAAAATGAATTTTTTCGAAAGTGAGCCAGAATTCATGAATCAAATCAATATTAACAAGGTAAGTTACAACAGTTTCAAAAAAATCCTTGTCTTGTGCATAAACAATGATGGATAAATAATAGAAAAAAGGATCTGTTGCTGTCTAAAAGTACTAAATTGAAGTATGAATCAAGCAGATGAGTTCTATTTTATCTTATGTATACCTTTTCGAATAAATATGTTATCTTAATCATGTCTCCTAATACAAATAAATGTCCGACTTAACTTAAGAGTTATAGTATTAAAATAATTCGAAGAACATAGTTCACATGGGATATATACAGTATAGATCGATTGCTTATAATTATTGAATTATAATCGATTTTAATCTGATTTTTCCTTATTTTTTACGTGGGCAAGCGCTTTGCGATTCTCATCGTAGATCAAAAGGAATCTTTTGGATTCATTAGTTTTATTTCTGGGTATGGTACCTAAAAGGCATAACAACTTTTTTAAAAATTCAGGTGCTGGTCGTCTATCGATGATTGAATGATATTTTTGTTGACATGTAGGGTCAAAAATAAACAAAAGGTTTCATTATCTTCTTACGAGTTAACTTCTCATTTAATACTTCGATTATATAAATGTTTGTGAAGAATAATTATACCTCATCTTGGTATAGCAAGCCCAAGGAATCGATTTCGCAAAACTTGAATGGATCAATTTTAAATCATTTATTTCTTCCTCACAATTTGCCGTCATCATCGGATACTGACTATTTAATTGACTCCGATCATCGATATGAATATAAACTACTTGAATATGTGAATGAGTATTTGCAATCGTTCAATGCCAAAAATGAACTTTCAGTTTTTCAAGTGCTTAAAAAATGCTTTCAATATTGGGCAGTTATACAGAATAAAGAAAACTGTTCTGTACCGAATTTACAATCAATCATTCAGAAGTTAGTGCCAGGTGATTTTCTTCCATTGTATTTCCACGCTCAGAATGCTGCAATTTTGATTGAAATCGATGAAAATCATACCGATCAACCATTGATTTCATCTTGGCAAGTTTCATTACCTCCAGACGTCATCACAACATCGTTAGAACCACACTTTTCGGATTTTCCGGTGCCGGTGTTTCGATTGCCTAATCGATCGCACCTGTTATCTCGTGTTCATTGTGAATTATTAATCGATTTTATGAACAATACGATTGAGCATGCCAAAGTTCAAAAATCATTATACAGATTCGATGAAATCCGTGATGTTCCTATATCACACTATGTTTGCCAATGGTGGATTACTCAATTTCAAGATGCTCAAGTACATAACCAAACCAATCCGTCTATTGCATTTAAGAAAAAACATCGTGATCAAATTCGATATACAAGATCAATGCTTCCGTTTCGACGATCAGGTTTATGGATGACTATTAAAGCTGTTCTACATACTATTCTGGTACGACGTCTGGGAAACGTCGGCACCATTGTATACAAATTGCTAATTACACATTTTTTGACTTATTGTATATCGGAGAAATTATCAAATAATTATCGAATATCTAATGATATACTAATGCATTGCCTTCGAAAAATTGTACGAAGATTAAATAAAATTGAACAATTGTTGTCACCAGTCGATTCGAATGATATAAATCAATGGATACAGAATGTAAAAGAGAAAATAAAACAAAAAGTCGATGACATCACGCCGAGTCCTAACTGGCAAAAGTCTATCGAGAAGCAGAAAAAACAAAAGTATGCTAAACTTCATTTGCATCCATATCAGCAGGAAACTTATCAACACCCATGCCGAAAATTAAAAGAGTATATTGATCAACGGCGTTCTGGTGAATCCAGCAGATACTATTTTGATAGATTTGGTTATAGATGTTTGGAATCTAATAGAGTTGCTGATAGAGACGATGATTTACCAAGATTCTTGTTAACTAATCATGATGAAGACTCTATTGGAATAGTATTAACACGTGCTGAAATATGGATACAATACAATTTAGCAGCCTGGATAGATTCATCATTACAATCGGGCAAAGGAGATCAAACATTTGAAAAATTACAAAATTTTTATGAAAACTATCAGAATGCTGCTTTAAATTGGTATTATTCAAAAAACAAATCAATTGATCCGATTGGCTACAGTCGATTTATTTTAACATCATTGACAATAATTCGTTTAATACACAAAACTTTATGCGAAGATGGAAGATTCCAAAGATTGAAGCTGCATGCTATTAGAATTCCGAATCTGCTCGAATTATTCGAATTTTTAGTCTTACCAAATCGAAATGAGATGTTTCAAGCTCGAACTTTGTATGATTACTTTCAAGAATTCAGTAAAAAAACATATCCAGATCTATTAAGTAATATCGAATCCAGGCATTCTTTCGGTGTTCAATTTGCTGATCAATCACCGGAAATGAATGAGACTCTAGAAAAAATTCAAGAGCAAATCGAACAAGATAAAAAGGACAAAACCGAAGAATTAAATAAAGCAAAAAAGAAATATGAAGAATTGATGAAAGAAGTCATTGATCTCAAATGCGAATGCGAAACTGATGTCAAGTTGTATTATAAAAAATGTGATCGATGCAAGTTTGAAAGAACAGCGAATAATATTAAAGTTGATATTTATGAATGTCCAATACCATCTGAGCGAGAAAGTGCATTAGCTGTAATTTTCGAATTACAAATGCCGAATGAAATCAGATGCTATCGAGATATCCTTTGGCTATTTGCTAATCGTCCTAATCCAAAACCATCACATAAAATGTACGAATGGTTAAGCTCTAGACCTCATGGTAGCAAACTAGCGATGTTTTATAAGGGTCCTCGTGACTGTAAAGTACAATTGTTATCTGCGAAACAATCATTGTCGGAGACACATTATTCAGCTCCACGTTCAATCGCATCCACACCACTAGAAGATTTTTTCTACGAAAATAGTTTACAAGTGCAGATCACTCCAACAAGACCGACGACACTCCAGGATGAATGTCGAACTTTAACACCTGAACTATCGGATCCCAATTATAAGTCATTACAATTTTCTATCGAAAGTACTCAATTCGTACAAAATAAAACCATTGCTAATTTATCAAAATGTACGCTACAACTAAAACCAATTGAATTCTTAGAGTTTGGTTCATTTCGGTCTGGCCATCGTTTACAATGGTGGAATCTTTTGAGCGCTCTAGAGACAGATTCCTTATCGATAGACGAAGAAAGTGTTGCAGTTCTTATTACACATGCACTGTTGCAAAATGGGCCCTTCGCAATCGACGGAAAAGCACTCATATACTCATGGTGTCCAGAATCACATCAACAACTGTTAGAAGATCATTTTGTTGATGAATTAATTGTGAGATTAGAGCGTCATTTGAAAGATTTCGAATGCAATTGGCAAAATGAATTGGTTTTAATTATCATAACAGTGGTTGTCATCCGAATATTTACTATTTGTAATTCAACAAGAAAACAACGTATGATTGATCTCGTTTTAAAATGCCGTCATACAGGTGCAAAATGGATTCAACTTATCTTAAAAAGTATTCATAATCCATCATCATCGGATTCGAATAAAATGGATGCATTACGCGATAAAATTGGAATTATCGGCATTGCATGTTTGCTCACATTCTCTGTATATACAGACGCTAGTCATTCGTTAGATTTATCCAATGACGATGTAATGTCGCTACTCAACATGGTCACAACTGTTCATGATAATCTTATTCTAGGTAATAAAAAATTGAATATGAGCGTATTTATGAGAAATCTGATGCGTCAAAGTGAGCGCGTGTTGGTGAGTATTCATCCCATGGTTAAAAAGCTTCTGGAAAAAAATTCATATGAACTTTTAAATGAATTTGCGTCTATATATTGGGCAGTTATCCGAACTAAGGGTAAAGCCGATGGCAAATGGAAGAAACGAAGCGAGAATATATATGATGGTTGGTACGATGGTCAATATGAATCAAATAACGTATCAATTGATTGTTTCAATGGAAAATTTGTAGTTAATGACCAGAGTATTGGATTTTTACCGAATAATATCACTTCTGACAAGTTATTTCAACGTGTATTTGGTAATCATATTTTTGAAGTACAAAGAGGTGAACAAGACGATACTTATATCACAAAACATGGATATCATCACGATGAAAAAGTTCATTATGAATTCAATCGTCAAAACTATTGTTTGAGAATCTACGAACATCACGCACAGACGAATGACAGATTTGAATTGATTCCTCCCAAATGTTTTGAAGACGAACTAGCTGAAATCTTTGTCTCAAATTACAGTCATTGGTGGAATGATAAGACCAAAATAGTAGAATTTCGACCTGTTCACTTTCAACATGAGAATTTTTTACATGATATTCATTACATATTAGCAATTAAGAAAGGATTTATTAGGACAAACAATACTGAAAATAGACAATATTTAATTAATCGATCATCATCATTTTTCAAGAATTTATTTACAAAATATTTTATTCGTCTGGACGGTGAACCCTATGTATACATGTTAGCAGACAATGGCATTATTAACATTCATTTATCTCGATTAGGTATTGCATTTAAATACAGTCCACAACACAGTACAATAACATCACGTGAATATTTCGATATGCATGTCGATGAAAATCAATGTTTCGGTACGTTAACAGGTTTAAGATCGGGTCTTCTACTTTCACCCATGGCAGCTATTGAACACAAAAATAGGCATAAACTCTGTCGAAAACTGATTGTGCCTTATGGAGAAATTCGAATAAGTAAAAAACCAGACAGACATCATCAAACCGTGACAATAGATCGAACATCAGAATCTAAGTCGCCATTTCTTCATCAATACTTTGTTTTTATTTTGAATGATCGGTTACGTATTCTGCAACCGACCGATAGCCCAACAGGATGGTTGTATCTGGGATTATTACACGCTGTAACATCTCATTGTCTACCGGATCAATATATTGGCATGACTGGAATGGAACGTTCATTTGAATTGTTAAATTCGGCTGGTAGTTGGTCTGATCAGCCTTTTGATCCAGTTTGTCGACAAATTCTTCTTCAAATCGCCATCATTTCACCACAAGTTAATTATTACTCAGAAAATAATCAATCCATGGAAAAGATCGAATGGAATCCTGACTATTTACCTTATTCATTGCAACATTTCGGCTATTATTTAATAGCCAAAAAGCTATTAGAAGCTAGTGAAGAATGGAATTTTATGTATTCAACATCAGCCACGCCCAATAACGATGAACTAGAAAAATTATTTAAAAGTAAAAAGTATAATGAAAACCTACTGATGAAGCTTTATTGGGACTATCGAGATTCTTACAATCCTCTAGCCCGATTATCGCCACAGATGGAAGCCGAAATCCAGCGTGCCAGTGTCGTCAGCTCGTACAAACCAGTATGGGAAAATTCTGTACGTGCAACAAACTACAGCTCTCTTCGTCTAATAGATAATCTATATGGTAGTGGGGATGTTGATCTTAAAGATAGCTCACAGCTCAGATGTTTTCCTCTGTCTCGATGGCTGTCAAGTGAATATCAATTAAAAAACATTTGGATTGGCTTATTCAAACTCGCTGAAGAACTGAAGACAGTTGAATCTAACAATCGACAGGATGATATTGAACGCTTTGAATTTTTACTCGATTTTCTACATTATATTTCGGATAAATGTTCTTATAAACCGTTTTATTTGCAAATGCTTAAGTCCATAATACGAGGACCAAGTTTATCATTGAGGTCATTACCATATCCTTCGTTTACCAGATACGAAAATATTGAGGAAATTTCATTTCAACGTCATCGTATCAAACTTCCGCGAAATCTTGGTCGTTACAGATATCCAATAGCCAATCGAGAAATTGAAGATTGTTTTCTTCAAAATCGCGACTATGAAAACGAAAGTTTCCCAGACAGATACATCCGCACGTTTGAAATCAATTGTTTATTTAAATCGTGGCGAAGGAATAGTGAACTCCGTTTATTCATAAATAATATTCAAAATCATGTGCGCTCAATCGTAATGGTTCCATTTCATACAAAAGTATCTGTCAACCCACAACGATTCGGATTCGAATCATTTCGAAATCATTATCAAATCCATCTGAAATTAGCAGATACAAACATCGATCAAAAACTTCTCGAAAGTGCAAGATTAAAATTTATGCATCCTCATTCTGATTATTTTATCAAACTAACCGCATGTGTTCGAATCACGAATGAGAAAAAAGAATTTCCGAAGGAAATCTTTCCTTCAACAGATTCTCAAGTCAACCTTATCAGCGATATCGCCAAGTACTTTAAAGAACACTTAGCAGAAAGTTGGAATCAATTTAATATGCTTGAAGAATATCGAAAAGAATATCCGTCGTTGAATATCACAGAACGATTTCTTCATTCTCTTCGTCAAGAATCGAGGCAAAACTGGAGTGAATTAGGAAAATCTATAATTTTCACAAATCAACTACTGTTTAAAACGGGTTTAGCAGTACGATTTCTTCCAACAACGTTGTTATCGGTTTTCCATCAAACATGGTTGAACGAAACTGAAATCAACAGTAGAAATGCTCCGGTATTAGTTCTCACTCCTGATCAACGTACATTGCTTGGTGGAATCATGGTCAATTGGGTTGTAGAACAACAAATAGAACGAGCTTTACACTTCGGTTATCAAAAGAAATGGGAAGACTTTGAAAGAGAAATATCAAATGTGCCACACGCGAACTGGGTGCCATCACAAAATCTACCATGGTTGATAATGGAGCTTGAAATGAATATAACCATTCGAGAAATACAAGTTGAGGTAGCACGTCATATGACTCAGCCCATAATGAATAACAATGATTCCAATATGCGTAATACCGTTATGCAACTGAATATGGGTGAAGGCAAAACTTCCGTAATTGTCCCTATGTTAGCTCTTAGTTTATGTTCATCGTCGTCAAGTTTGGTTCGTATCATTGTATTAAAATCTTTATTTCCAACAAACTATCAATCATTACGGCACAAATTAGGTGGCTTATTAAATCGACGTGTACTTTCATTTGCATGTCGTCGTGATATGAATTTTAGTGAATCGCAAGCAAATCAGATTTTCAATCGTCTGCAATATGGATTAAGTCAACGTGATGTGGTTCTAACTTCACCAGAAGATATTTTATCGTTTGATTTGCTTACTATAGACAAATGTCGACGAAATGAGTTTGATGTTGGCCGGCCAATGTTATCGACTCAACGTTGGATAAAAACATACGTTCGTGATATTCTAGATGAATCTGATGAAATTTTGCATGTTAAATACCAATTGATTTATTCAATTGGTGGTCAGAAACAAGTCGATGGAGGTTTAGAACGTTGGCGAACTATTCAATCAGTACTCAACTTAGTTAAACAACATGCTACAAGCATCGCAACAGAATTCAACGATGATGTTTCATACAAAGTATCAGAACGTAAAAGTAGTTTTCCAGAATTTCGTTTACTTAATCATCGACCGTTTCTAGAGTTATGTAAAAGAATTGCAAAGGACTGGCTAAATCAAAAAAACTTTCGTCAATCAGATGAAGAACTTATCTTACAATTCATACTTGATATAAGTGTACCAATTACATGTCTAAAAGATCGATTTCCTTATAATATAATTCAGTTATTTCTCGTCATGCGAGGTCTTCTATCATCGGAAGTTCTTTTTGTTACATTGAAAAAACGCTATCGTGTCAATTTCGGCGTTAATCCTAATCCAAAATTTAATCGTCTAATGGCCGTACCATTTCGTGCGAAAGATGTTGCAGCAGAAAATACAGAATTCGGACATCCAGATGTTGCTCTTGTTCTAACACAAATTTCTTATTATTATAGTGGATTGAGTGATTTACAGTTACGTCAATGTTTTGATCGTTTGAGTCAGAATGAAAATGATCCGGAAGTGATATATAATGAATGGATTTCACTTGAAGAAGACAATGATACAATTGCACGTATTAAACAATGGAAACAAGTCAATCTAAAAGATAAACATCAACGAACTGAACAACTCTTTCCAACTTTCCGACGAAATATGCAAGTTATAAATTATTTTCTCAATAATTTCGTCTATCCTTATGAATCAAAACAGTTTCCTCATAAATTAATTGCTTCCCCATGGGATTTATCTTCATCTGCACGTAAGAAAATAATGACTGGATTTAGTGGTACTAATGATACACAGTTATTATTACCGGTCCATATCCATCAGTGTGATTTACCAGAACTAAAGAAAACTGATGCTGTCGTTCTTAATAATTTGCTTCAACCGAAAAATGAACATTATCGAGATTTGCCTATTAGTGCAAGTTCTGAAGAGATTCTAAAACAAATTGTTAATACTGAACCAATGATTCAAGTTATACTGGATGTTGGCGCATTATTTATTGATGGAAGTAACCGTCAAATAGCCATTAAGTGGTTAGACCTCTCGAATATAAATAGAATAGATTATGTTGTATATTTCGAAATGGATTCAATATTTGTTTGTGATCGTCAATATCAACACCATGCATTTTCGACATCTCCTGCTAGTGAACGACTCGATCGTTGTCTATTTTACTTGGATGAAATTCATACGCGAGGAACAGACTTTAAGTTTCCCAATGAATTTAGAGCAGCTGTTACTTTAGGTAACGGTCTTACCAAAGATCGATTAGTTCAAGCATGCATGAGAATGAGAAAATTAGGTAAACACCATTGGTTGAGTTTCTGGAGTTCAAGCGAAGTTCATCACCAAGTACAAACATTGAAGAAAACTTCAGCTTTGTATAAGGAAAAAGAAAACGTCAACGATCATATTTCTTTGACTGATATTCTTCGTTGGGTATATGAAAATACTCAACAGGCAATATGGGATGGATTACATCATTGGGCAACACAAAGCTTAAGTTTTCAGCAAAAAAATTCTGCTTTTCGGAATATTGACTGGAATAATTATCAGCAAATTCTTACAAATATAATGATGGAAAATTTAGCCAAAGCAAGTTTAGAAGGTGAAATCTTAGATTTAAAAACTATGTATGGTCATGAGAAAATATTTCAAACAGTGTACGAGATCTACTCGACTCGCTATCAATATTCGAATACTGGCTATTCGACTGAAATTCATGAAGCAGTTTCAAAACGATTGCTCGATTATGGCGGTTCGAAAAAACTTCTGACACAATTATTAGATGAAGAACAGCAACGAGAACTAGAACGAGAACAAGAAACAGAAGAAGAACGACAACAAGTACGACCTATAGCTGCCGTTCCATGCGAGCCTATACTGCATCATGAAGTTTTGAACCTATGTGAAACTCAAGGTCCAATGTTGAACTTATCACACTTACCTAATGTGTTTTGTCCTATTGCCGATGCTTTCATAGGTATGACATTCTACCGTGAAAGCCAACCAGGTTGTTGGCAAGAAAATCTATGGATTACTACTGAATTCAAGCGGGTCATTCAAACGAAAGGAGAATCGTTAGATCCATTTCTACGTCCTCCACGTTGGGTACTCATCTATCGTAATCAACACATCATATTCCTAAGTCCCTACGAAGCTAATGAACTGATGGATCACCTTCAATATCTTTACCATAAATCACCATCTGATAAATTAATGCAAACAACATTACGTTTATTGTTACCACGTACTAGACGAGATCAATCGATACTGTTCAATACACGAACTCTTACGATTCCTCCGTTGATTTCATTTGATCCTGAAATTCTTGACTATTCGATTCCAATTGAACTTTTGGTAGCATTATTTGCATTTAATGGAACGATCTACTTTGAAAATAAACGAGAACAAGATGCTTATTGTAAATTTCTTGGTCTATGTTTGAAACCTCGAAACGAGATCGAAACCAATGCTTTTGACAATGGTTGGATTAATATTGATGGCTTTGTGGAAAACTTAAATCATCGGCAACAATTACAACTTCATCAATGCCGTTTCTCATCCAATCCGTTAAGTTTCATCAGGAAATTGATTGAAAATCGTAATCAGGCACACGCACCACTTTCATCGCATGTTGGAAGTATTATCATAAACGCTATCAAATTACCGATCGAATGATTTTATTGTTTTTCATTTTCTTCCTTCCTTATTTAATACAGAAATTGAGGGTGAGAATGTATGCGTAGAATCTACACTCTGTTATAGGGATAAATGATTCAATTGAAAGAACATTGGCCAATCATTGAAATGAATAGAAGAAAATTAAGCCCCACAAAATCTCAAAGAAAATGTAATAAATTGAAGCGTGCTCCTTTTTATTTCAATATTTGATTGAGAAGAGAACAGTCAGATTTCTCAATTGAACTTTTCGAAAATTGAGCACAGCTGTGTTTCGATGCATTAAAGATAATCAAAGCTCTAAAGAATGAAAATAAATCTCGCATATTGTACTGCTGCTCGCATTTCTATAATTACTTAGAAGTATATTTACATTCACGACAATGATGCTGGCAGCAATGTTGTTCTCTTTTTAAAACTGCGTCGAAGAGAAACGACATGTTGACAGTAACAGAAAATGAAGAAAAAAAAATAAACCATGAGTAATCGGTAGAAAAGTACTTTAATATTTTTTTATTTACGTGATCGATAACATTACATTTAATTGTTCACCAAAATTTTTCTCATTGCAACACGACTGTTAATAATGAACAATTTTGAGTAATTGTTACTCCGAGCGTCAAAAAAAAACTCAAAACTTTTAAACTGCTAAATTATCTACGATTTGTAGACTCTTATTTAAAATACAACTTAAATGGGCAACAAACGTGAGTAAATTTTAATAATATAATTAATAATTTAACATTTCTAGAGACTAGCAAAACTGAACATAATGAGATTCAGTCAATATTTTCTATCGTCTGGCTCAATGAAATACCACCCACTGATGATATACTTACACAATTAAAATCTCTTAACTACAAGATAGAAATATATCATGATACTGACTGTCGAAATTACATAAAAGGTGTTGAATTGAATGAAAAATTTCTACTCATTGTTAGCAAAGTACTCAGTAAAGACCTTATCCCCGAAATTCATGATTTTAGTCAGCTCATTAAAATTCTTATATTTTTCAATGGTTCAACAGATCTCGAATGGGGTAAACAATATAAGAAAGTATGTAAATTTGTAGAGCTTGTTGCAGTATCAACAATGCATTCAAAAGTAAATATCAATCGTATTTTTCTTTATAGGTGAGAACCGTAGAATTCAAACAATTGATATCAAAGATTGAGTCTGTTCTTTGTGCATGGCTTCGTCATACATTCGATCCACTCGATTTTGCTTATTTTGACACATCAAAAGGTGTAGGCGGTACACTAACAACAGATATAAATGGTACATTTCTTTTCTCGCAACTTTTGATTGACCTTCTTCTTCGTATGATTCCTCAAGCGACCGATAAAGATGAATTAATTGAGTATTGCACGAAAGCCTATGACGGTATAGAAACAAAGTTAAAACAAGTCCGAGACTTTCGTAATTCGTATAGAAAAGAGGACGCTTTGAAATAGTAATCGAGTACATCATTTGTCTATGTCTTACTAAACTATTCCTTGAGAACTCAAAATATTGATCTTCTATTTCTTTATCGTTTCTTTTTACGTGATCTACAAAAACAACTTGCTGAAAATCAATACCAAACAAGGAAAACTGTTTATCGTGGGAAATCAATGAAAAACGAAGAATTCCAACGACTTTCAAATTCGATTGGTCATTTAATTTCTGTTAATTCATTTTTTTCTGCAAACATCTCTTTAGAAGTAGCTCGATTCTTTCTTGGTGATATTACCGTTCATCGAACAGATGTACAATATGTTCTTTT